TTGGACGATGGTAACTAGCATTAGCAGCATGCCGACTTAAAATAAGCAGCGGAGCATTGGAAATGCCCCAGGGGATCCCTGGAAAGGCATGCAGACTCTGTGTTATATTAAGCAGCTTTTAATCTCTAGCACCTCTAAATAGGCCCTGGAAATCAATCTCTTTCCTGCTCTGGAGCACCTGCTGCTTGACCTGTGCTAATTCACTTGGACTGCAGCACGTCTCTTCCCATCCAGGTCTGGGACAGGAACATCCTTACTCCATGGTGCAACTCAGCTGGCCTCGCTTAGACTCCACATCAGCCCTGTGTGGTTTGGGGTGGTGGCCCGGTCTCCCCATCCCATCTCCTGGAGTTGGGATGCAAGGAGCTGGCAGCAAGGCTGAGGGTTGGGTGGGAATATCCAAGGGCACCAGGGATGTCCTGGCCCATGTGAAATGGGTGCGACYGTGAGGGCTGTTTCGCATCTGCAATAGGTGGGCGAGCTGCAGCTCGGCGCAGGAGGCTCGGCCGGGACAGCCAGGAGCAGAGGTGGGAGCCAGGGAGACCATTTATCCATAGGGACACCTAGGGGACACAAGGACGGTGCTGGCACGTGTGCCACTGTGTTTTATGAACAGCAAATGAGATACTCAGCCATGCTGAGAGGCTGCAAGCCTTCATTACCACCGCGGCACTGCTGATGCTCTCGACTGCTAATGACTTAAGCCCGGTCCTGCTGCATATCTTATCTTGCAACGGACTGGCCTGAGTGCACGCGTCATGAACCGCGGCTCTTCGCCAAATGGGACAGTTAGGAGGGACACGGGTCCCCACAACAGTCCTCCACTCCATAATTTGGTTGATTACAGTTTGCCCAAATGGGCCATTCATTCCTGCTCAGACGCTCCCAAGTGAGCAGGGAGATCTGTTAAATGTGACCTGCCACACGAGCACTTTCTGCTTGACAACAGAGCCAATTCCAGTGGGAAAAAAAACAAAGTTACTCGGGAAATCCATCCCGACTCTCTCTGGAGACCCTGCTCTGCGGCCATTGGAAGCATCTCCCGTTATCCCTGGGGATAGAGAGTGGGATGGAGAATTTAAGAAACGCACCCGTGACCATGCTCAGGGCTTGGCAACTGCTCGCTGCTTACTATTTTTCCAATTGAGAGAAGGGTCTGCACYTTTCGTTGCCAAAAGACTCATTCCAAATCCAGCGCTTCTCCAAATTCCACCCCGCAGAATGACATGCTGGTGGGAAGCAGGTCAYGAAGCATCTCCCTGCCACATTGCTGCTCCCCAGCCGAGCCGAGAGCCCAGGGCATGCAGCTCTTGCCCCCCAAAACCACAGCTTTAATTCCACTATGAAGATACCCCTCCCTGCATCCAGCCCCCTGCCCCAGGGGATGCCCATGGAAACTCATCCCRCACTAGCCCGCCCCTGATGGGCAGGTTTAATTGAAGATTTCTCCCTTTGCATTCCTTTTCCAGCAAATAAACCTGAGTGGGATAAAAATATATGATGCTTAAAGGGGAAACTGCCAAGTAATCTTTATTGTTTCTAATTTGTGTTTTACTCCTCGTGTGTTTGCGACACTCTCTCCAAGCCTGGGAAATAACTTTTCCCTTCCCCCCCCATCCTGGATTTTGATTCTTTTTTCCATCTTTTGAAAAAAAAAAAGCCCTCCCAGGGGTGAAGGACAAGCGCTGGTGGGTCCCCGTGTAYCACCTTGCAGTATCAGTGTTGCAGGGACACACGGGAGCTTCCTAACCCAGGGATGGCTCCAGGCACAGCAGCCTGAATTTTAAACAGAAAAAAAAAAAAATAGCTTGTCTCACTCTTGCGATTATTATGGCAAGTCTGAAGACTCAATTTATAGCTCTGCTAGAGAGTTAACAGCAGGAAGGAGAATGTTAGTTCGTGCTTAAAAGCCGGGGATGGTCACCCCGGTGYTTCGGAAAGCCCCGCCACGCCGCCTGGAAAATCCTCATGCAATTCCCGTGTCGGGAGCCCGAAGTGGGAATTCTGGGCAGCAGTGTAAATCCAGAGAGGCTCAAGGATGAGCTCAAGGGGGACGTGCCTCCCTGGCAGGTCTTTACCTTCCAGCAGCTCACAGGATTTGCGTGCCAGGGAGCACCAGCCCCATCCTGCTGGGTCCTCTCACCAGGCCAGGCTAATGCACCGAGTATAAATTACCTTTTTTTTTCTGCTTCTCACCCCGGGAATGGCAGAAATCTCCCTGACCTTTACCTGCACGGCTGGGACGAAGCCTGCTCCCTCCCACCACCGCTAATTTTGCCAGCTGCCTTGATAAATGGCTCTGCCAGCACAGTGACATCTTTCTAATCTGCGCCCAGACAGATGGGTCCTGCTGCAGAGGGAAAAACATTCGCTGGTGAAGCTTGACCAGGAAGGAGATAGACGCAGCTGATTCTCTAAGAAACAGGAAAATTGTTTCTCAAAAAGAGTGGTGAAGCTTTTTTGTCAGATTTTGGTGAAGTTTTTGCAGGTTTTGGCTTGCATTTCCCCCCCTCACCAGGGTTCTGCTCAGCTGCTATGGGGCACAGGGGACATGTCCCCGCTTTGCCAGGCCAGCTTAGGAGCTGCCATCGGCTCCAGGAGGACCCMTCCCACTTGTTCCTGTCTCCAGCCATGAAGCTGGTCACAAATTCACCCCGTCCAGGAGGTGTTTCCTCACAGGAACCCCGGAGATGCCCAGGAGGGCCTGGGACCCGACAGTGCAGGAGAGCAGCGCAGTGCGCACAGTCCCCTAGTGCCACCTCCTGGACAGCTCCGCCACGGGCAGCAGGGGACAGCTCTGCTCACCTGGGGACTACAGCCTCTCCAGGCAAGCGCCAAGCCAAGGGGGAGCACCGTGGTGGCCACACGGTGCTGCTGGTGGCCACATCCAGGACAGCATCACTGCACACACACRGGATGTTGCCCCCAGCTGAGACGGGCTCCGTGGGGCAACCACAGCYGGCACAGGACACCCCTCTGGGGTGTCCTCATCCCCCAGCCATGCCGAGGGTGACCAGAGCCCCATCCCCAGTATCCCAGCCTCATTGAGAGGGACTTGCCACTTAGAAACATACAGGTCCATGTTTATCCAGCATATAGGTCCATGTTTATCCAGCGTCAAAGGTCTGCTTGTTGGGCGAGTCCAAGGGGACACAGAGAAGCTGCTGGCTCCARGTCACTGCTCTGCTTCCTAAACAGCACCCTAAACACCAGCTGAAAACACCTAGGCTTTATAGAGCTCCTCTTTGAAAATAACCGTGGGACATGCTCCACACACAGACTGCAGTGAAGGGACAAGCCCTGTCCCCAAGGYGRGGGACAACAGAGAAGTGACATAGCCCAGGCAAGAGCTAAAAGAGAGCCTGGCCAGGGGACAGGCCCGGGGGCCCGGGTGGGCTGCTCTGGGCAATCAGCATCACCCCAGGGCCCTGCTGATCATCGCACACAACTGCCTTCCTCCTGGAGCTACCGGCTGTGCAGGTCCCTGCCTGACTCCTGGTAGCTGCAGAGGGACAACGGGGACAGTGGGGATCGTCCCTGCAGCAGGCAAGGCRCTGAGCCCCAGCACAGCTCATGACAGATGCCACCAAAGTGTCACCTCCTGTGGGCTGCGGCCAGGCTGTATCAGAAGGTCTTCGGTTGTTTTTTTTCTACTAAATCACTCGAGCGCTTGGGAAGACAGATGCTGAGAACTGAAATCCCAGCAGCGTTCGTGAATCCGCCTCTCTCTGCCAGGACCGGATGGGATATTCTTTCCAAGGGCTCACGGCATCCTCCAAGCGCGCTCGCCGCTTCCCTCCCTCCGCACGGGGGAGGCTGCGCTGGATTCACCTCCTCGGCTGCAGCCCTGCACCGGGAGCCATCCGGAARCCACGCGCACACTGGGATGCACACGCTTCCACGGGCAGGTAAGGAATAGAGCTCCCTGCCAGCCYGGGCAGATAGATCCACGTGATGCCATCCCAGTGCCCGAGCACCATGGGCACCTGTGCCAACGCCATCAGCCTGAGTGTTGACGAAGAAAGGGGAAAACAAGCCCCAGGTGCCTGGCCAGAGAACAGCAAATGTGCTGTGCAGATGCACCAGCAGRGAAGGAAAGCAGGGGGAAAGGGAAGGACTCGCACAGCCGTAGTCCCTGTGCCCATTGCATTGCCACTCTTGCCCTTCCTGTGCCGCCGTGCTCCTGAGCTGTGACTCCATTAAAAATGACACGCTTTTGGGATGGGAATCCCACTGGGAACGAGCATCGGAGCTCACTGAAGCTCTGTGTGCGAGCTTGGAGATTTGGAGAGCAGCAAGGTGGCACAGAAAACGTGTGCCAGGGTTGTGGGGTGACGGCTGGCACGGTCAGGGCTCATGTGAACTTACACATGAACTTATATGTGAACTTATCAAGCCCCGACGATAGMTCAAAAGAAGTCACGGAGAGAACAGTGCAGTCATGCCATGGTGCTGGGATGCCAGGGTGCCGGGATGCCGGGGTGCCAGAGTGCCGGGATGCCATGGTCCCGGGATGCCAGAGTGCCAGGGTACTGGGGTGCCATGGTGCTGGGGTGCCAGGGTGCTGGGGTGCCAGGGTGCCAGGGTGCCGGGATGCCAGGGTGCCGGGGTGCCGGGATGACGGGGTACCAGGGTGTTGGAGCGCTGCTCAGCACGGGGAGAACCAGCATCCCAGCTGGTCTGGGAGGTGGCGGTGCCCGCGGAGCCCCCGAACATCTGCATCCCGATCCCGCCCGGGCCRCGGGGCGCACGGGAGGCCGCTGCTGGCTGCGGGCCCGGGGTGCGCTCCACCCAGCGCCAACAAGGGCGCTTTGAGGAGCAGGGGGCGGCCGCGAGGGAGGCCACTAGCCCTTTAAGAGGGAAAATTTTTCTGTGTAATCGGAGCGAATTCCGCCTCAGCAACAGGCGGGAGAAGCTGCAGGGCCCTCCCTCGCGGCACTTTATTAAATATAGTAGTAGGGAGCGGCGGCTGGTCCCTGCCTGGCGCTTGTGGGGCCACCATGGGCTACCGGGAGCGGGCGCTCACCCTGGTGCTGCTGGTGCTGCTGGCCGGGCGGAGGGTCCTGGGCGCCGCGGGAGCCCCGGGTGCAGGTGAGCAGCGGGGACGGCGGGAGGAGCTCCGGGCTGTGGCTGCTGCGGGGCTCCCGCGGGATGCCTGGGTGTCCAGGCTGGAGCAGCTCAAGGCTGCACCGCGGTGGGGATAAGCGGAGGCTGCTCTGAGCCCCAGTTGCTCCGCGAGGCTTGTCTAGCTTGGGACAGGTCTGTGTCCGAGCCGACGGGCTGCAAGGGTCAGCTCTGTTCTTGCTGGAGCTCCTGGTGCTCAGCTGCCGCGTGCTTCGTTAGCAGCTCCTCTGCCCAGACCGCCTCAGTGCCACCCAGCAATGCCCAGCACAAGTGAGGGGGATTTCAAAAGGATGAGTTTTTCCGACTCCAAAAACTATCACTTCCCTGGGCAGTTCCTCACTGTGGCGCTGAGGACTGGGACTGCCRCCAGTCCCTGGGGCAGCTGTGGCACTGGGGAGCTGCAGGGACAGCAGCGACCAGGGCCAGGAGCACAAAGCAGATCACAGTCTCAGGCTGTCCCAGACGGGAATCCACGCATGAGCCCCTTGGAGCGCATCCCGMGTGGCTCCATTTCCATGTGCTGGCACCGAGCTGCGGGGTGCTGCTGCCACCCACCTCGTCTGCGCTGTCTGGGGGTCAGGCCTGCTTCCCGTATCCATATCCCCTCATCCCACGCTTGTAGCCCAGCAGGTTCCTGTCTTCCGTGATGCCCTCCAGGCCCTTCTGGCCAGCAGAAATGTCAGCAGAACAAACGGGACCGTTCATCCTCCCCTTGCTGGAAGTGGAAGCACTTTGGGGGCTAGTGGTGAAAGAAAGCTGGGACATTTGGAAAGTATTAAAAGCTTCCTTCAACATTTTGCAGAAGAAAGGCTGCCTTGAGCCCCCTTTGATTCATCCTTTTCTAAATGAGTTCTTGATCCTGCGCCGTCCTGTGCTTTCCATTTTCCCATCTGGGCCTATGTTGGCACAGGGACAAGGATCACACCAGAGCCTCTGCACCTGGGCCATCCCCACGGGTGTTCTGTCCTTGTCCCCTTCCTGGGACAAGGTGACCTCCCACACATGCTCCTCGCGCTCTTCCTTCCTTTCTTCCTTTCTTCCTTTCTTCCTTTCTTCCTTTCTTCCTTTCTTCCTTTCTTCCTTCCTTCCTTCCTCATGCACCCAAATATCACAACGCCTGGCAAGCCAAGTGGAAAAAAACTCCCTTTTGCTACTGAGCGAAGTGGTCCCCATCCCCACCACACTGCCCTTCAGCTCCCGGGTAGGGATGCTGTAGGAAGCGCTGGTGCCCACTGCCCATCCCTGGAGCTGCCTGGCCTCCTTGGAGACGTTTCATCCTGCAAAAAATCTTGCCATCTCCGAGACGCACAGCCTGGACCACGCAGAGGTCACCCTGGCCGTCACCATGGCCCACTCGAAACACAGACTCTTGTTTAGACCACGGTGCCACCATCCACTCTGACTTGTGCCATCCCAGCCTGGCCCATGTGGATGCCAGTGTGGGCAGCACTGGGACCAGTGCACGGGCTCAAAACGATCCCTTCAGCTCGTCTGAATCTTGCTCAGCAATGCGTGGGACTTGGTGAGGAGATAAGTGGCACCCAGGGGCTGTCTCACATATTCCTCTCAGCTCCTTTTGGAAGCCCAAACGGTTTATTCATCCTTGCGTGTTGTACAGGCGCCACATGTTTCAGGGTCAGGGTTCCAAGCAGCTGGAAACGTTTCCAGCTGATGGGAAAGAACAGGAAAAAAAGTAAGAGAAGCGGGGGGAGAATGCAAACTGGTATCGTGGGAATTGGTGGAGGAATATTCTGGTCTCACTCTTATATTTAGCAACTGTGGGGCGCGGGCAGAGCCCTAATAAGCGCGTGGTTCCAAGGGAGCCGTGCAGGGTTAACCTCAACCGCGGGGATCGGGACGCGGGTCGGGAGCTGGACGTGACGCGGCTCTGCAGGCTGCAATCGCGCGTTGTCTGAGTGCCTAAATTAAGCTCAAAGCACAGACTGTTCACGGMCGGCGCTGTCTCCGGCCCAGCGGCTCCCAGGGGCCGTGCTCCGAGTCCTTTCCAGGTGCCTAAGGCAATCCAGGCTCGGGTTTTCTCCTTTTTGGGAATGCAGGCGCCCTGCGCGGCATGGCTTGCGTCGGCCCGCATTCCTCGCCTGGGAAAGTCCTGTAAGACTCCGTGTGTTTTCATTTCCATGGGTGCCGCCTGGGTGTCCCATGGCAGGCATGGGAAAGCATCCAGGAATGATCCCCGCCGTCTGTCTCTGCAGGCTTGAGCTCAGCCCAGGCTTCATGCCACCCCCTTGCTGTCCTGTGTCCCCTGCACCCCGGGGGGACATCAGAGGCCCCTTACTCCCCRACTCCAACCATCTGCATCCCTCCTGCTGGTGTGGCTCCATAAATACTCCTAATCCTTGGAGATTCCCATAGCACTTCAAGGGCTCAGCCACACTCCAAGGTCTGCGCTGGCCATGGAGCGTCCACAGCAGCYTTGCAGGGTAAATGCAACAGGAAAAAAATGATATCAATAGAAAGACTCTAAAACCTTTCCTTCCTGAGCAGCAGTGAAGGCTGAAGGAAGACAGACCCCACAATGTTTATTTTACTCACAAAGTTTGCAACGGGACAGCTGGGAGCTGTTGCTGCTGGTGTGCAAGCGAGCACACAGGCACACGCACGCTTGCCGCCTCCCAGAACTGGTGTGAGCGGCAAACGTGCCGTGTCCTGCTCCGAAGACAAGGGCTCTTGTGCCGAATGGAAACCAGAGGCAGGGCACCCGGGGATGCTGCGAAATCGGGTTTAAAAGCCTGCAGAAACCATAAAAGTGGCATTCATCCTGGCGGGCCGCGCTGCCAGCAGCGCGCCGTGACTCACCGCTGCTTAAAGGAGCCTTTATGGGCAGTGAGTCAGTCCGGAACGGGGCTGGGCACTGGGTTGTATTTTTCTTATTTTGCCCAAATCTTGGGGTTTTGAGGGTGGTTGTTATTCCTTCTTCCCACAGACAGGCAGGAATATTCTGGTCTCACTCTTATATCCTTCTGGGATGGGCACGTAGGGACCCCACCAAGGCCACCGCACCCGGCTGTGGGCAGGGATGGGGATCACGGGCTGRGTGAGTCAGTACCTCCAGCAATGCTATTTTGGGGAGATTTGAGCTAATATTCACAGTAAAGGTGAMTCTGGTGTGCCTGTGCCTGCAGGAGGGGGCTGCTCCTGCGGATCTGCCACACTGGAGCTGTCAGCTCCACTGGTGATCCCTGCRTCCACTTATTCCCGGCACTGGGAATGCTGCTGGTGTCACGGGGCTGCACGACGCTCTTGGCGCACATGAGAACAGGCAGTTTCGGGGGCTCCTGGCCCACGGGGACCCAACAGGAATTTTCCATTTCCTCCCTGCCCGGTCCTCAACGACACATTGATCCCCCGGCATCTCCACAGCCCGCCACGGAGCCTTTATATATCCTGTCCCACACAATTTCTGGGTCCGCTGGGTCATTTCCTCTGGGAACTGGGGCGGAGGAGGCTGGAAAAGGAGAATTTTGGCCCGAGGTAGTTGTGGCTGAGAAAAGCAGCCTGTGCTGCCCCGCGGCCTGAGACAGGACTAGCGCGCGCGCTTCCACACCCCCGCAGGCTCGCCCGCCTGCACCCCGAGCACACACGTCCCCCCAGCGCTGGTAACAGAGGCGGGGTGGGCAGGCACTGTTTTCTCTATAAACATGACCCCTTGGCTTGTTTCTCCTAGTCGGGAAAGCCACAGGAATAATATGTTGTGGGCCTGGGAGAACCAGGCAGGGTTAGGGAGGAGAGGAGAAAGGAGAGGAGAGGAGAGGAGAGGAGAGGAGAGGAGAGGAGAGGA